ACCTTGGTGTGCTTGCCACTGTTTCGCGAGTTTTAATGTTGGCTTTCTAAGATCTCTTGTGGGTGCTCCTAAATGTGTGGCTAAACATCTAAAAAAGGAAAAATTGTCTGTGTAGGGTTTTGACTGTGAATCCTGATGTAACATGTTAATGGCGTGATTATGTTTAATAAAGTCAGGAATGTCTGTAAGAGGGCATATGGGTGAAGGTTTGTCTGTGGTCGTGTGTAAGTCTACTGCATCTCCCCTAAGGTCGTCTACAGGAAAAATAGCGGTGTGTGAATTAAGGTTACTGTCGTTGTTAGTCTTTACGCGTTTGTTGTTTGGTATGTCTTCATATGTCGTATGTCGTTTTAAAGGGCTAGTGTTGGTCGCAGTGTGGTCTGTTTGACTCGCTGATGGGAGTTGGACAGTATGTGTGTCGGTCACTAATGTGGGTTGGAGTGTTTGTCTGTTGGTTGCTGATGGGGTGTCGGTCGGTGATGTTTGGTTGTTGTGTGCTGTCTTATAATGGTTCGTTAAATTACTTAGTCTTGTAAATACTTTCCCGCATGTTGTGCAGGGATGTCTTTGTCGTCCGTGTGCAGAGTCTTGATGTCTTGTCAAATCGTTTCTGCGGGTGAATACCCGCTCGCATATGTCACACTTGTTACGGCTCATGGCTGGATGGGTGGTAGACTGGGTGGTTTGCATTATTGACGAAGTGTCTAGTGTGTGGATGCTTGGGTAGGTCGGTGGCTGTAGAATAAAAATAAAATACATAAAATAAAAATCATAAAATAAATTACATACTTAAAACAAAATTAAAACTGAACGTACCTATGGGTTTGACTGTGTAAGCTGAACGTGAAGTTAGCTGTGTGTGGAGATCCGAAATGGTGTAGTTGGATGTAGCTGGATCGTTTGGTTCAGTGGATGCCTCGGGGATGGGTAGGTAGATCAATAGGTTCGGTCGATGGTTAGTCTGTCTCGTAGGGTCGGTTGTGCACTAAAAAGGAATACAGTTGCCTGCTTATTTAGATACATATTTATTTAAAGGATATTTTAATAGGGTTATCTCCCTTAAAACATAAAGTACTATTAACCTTACCTCGGTGTACGATACAAAATTAAATTAATTAATTAAAAGGTATTTTAATAGGGTTAGCACCCTTAAAACAATACATACTATTAACCTTACCTTTAATAGAATAAACACACACAAAAGAGGTGGTCCGTGGTTGTTTAGGTAGATGTGATGGTTGATAAAGCTGGCTTGGTTTAGTCTCAGGAGTCAACAGAGGTCTCATCCAGGATAAGTCGCGGTGAAGCTTGGTGTGAAGTCCGAAGTCGAAGTGTTTAGAACACAATTTTCGCGGTCATTTATACGTTTGCTCAGCGTAATTACACCACCAGCTGTCGCACAACAGCTGTTGCATAATGACCTAAGTGCTTCGCGGAAAGCCACTTAATGTACGTCGTTAATTACCATACCCCCCGGTGGGATCGCTTCGCGAACCCACATAAATCATCATGACCCGTCAAATCGAGCGGGGAAAAACCCACGATGCATGCCCAAATTAATTAGGCGGACCATCATTTGATGGCCCGTGGGTGGAATCAATATTAACGCGCCCGTTGTCCAGTGTTTGACAAGAACAAAGGATTGCGGATCGATAAGTAACAGATGTGGTTAAATGGATGTTCTATTTTCGGTAACCGTTCGTTGTGTTGCTGAATGGTCCTTATACAAAGACTGTTCTAGTACATGCTAGTGTTAGTCTTTTATTTAAAACATACATACAAGCAAATAAATAAACAACATTAAACAACAAAGTAAACAAATAATCAAATTACGTAACTAATTAAAAACTAATTAAAATTTAAAAATTAAATTCAAACTCATTAAAAAACTCATTAAAATTACGTAACTAGGTCAATAAAAATTACACAATATAAACAAAGTAATTAAATTAAACAACAAGTAAACAAACTAATTAAACAATCAAAGTAATTAAATTACATAACTAGTCAATAAAAATTCAAACTAATTATAAAATAAAATTAAAAATAAACAAAATAAAAATAATTAAAAAGTGAACAAATAATCAAATTACGTAACTCGTTAATAAAAATTACACAATATAAACAAAGTAATTAAATTAAACAACAAGTAAACAAACAAATTAAACAATTATGTAATAAAAACACATTAAAATTACGTAACTAGGTCAAAAATTAATTAAAATTTTAAAAATTCATTAAAACTCATTAAAAAACACATTAAAATTACGTAACTAGGTCAATGATTACGTCACAAGGTCACTGATTACGTCACAAGGTCAATGATTACGTCACAAGGTCACCAAAAGGTGACTCACCCTTCACTGCTCCGCCAACCCCAGTTGGCGTAGTATTTTACTATATGTCTTTGCGCCTGCGGTGCATCCTGCTCACCCACCCTGCGGCAGCTGGCGTAGTATTTTACTATATGTCTTTGCGGCAGGCTGCGGCAGGCTGCGCATCCTGCTCCGAGTATTTTACTATATATCCTTTGCGCATCCCCACCACCTGCTCCGCCAAAAAATCGCTCCAAAAGCGACCTAATATACTACTTATATATATATATATATATATATATATATATATATATATATATATATATATATATATATATATATATATATATATATATCATTCTAAATGCCATAAAAGTTCAACTTGAGACTACAATGAAATAATTTGAATATTTCTGTCATTTACTTTCATTAATAATCAATAAAGACTTAATTTCATGATCCTTAACGTATAAAAAAAAACCCAAAAATCTGCTCGTGATCTTCTAATTCGGACTTTGGCCGGTCGCCCCCTCGCCAGAAGATCTTCTGATTCGGACCTTGTCCACTATGGCCAGTCCGCGGATTGGCCGGCCAAGGGCCGAAATCAAGTAAAGTTTTGGACTTTGGCCGATCAATGGGAGGCGATATTGGCCAATGCGAGCTTTGGCTGACTTCGGGCTTTGACCGTGACATATATATAAGTTGCGCCATTTCTTTACAAAAGTGTCTGGTGAAATCGTTTCTTTTGTACTTGTCAACAGATGTCTCCTCTCTCCATTGCCGTGTTCAAATACTTTGGCGAATCCCTCCCCCCTCCCCAATTTGGAAAATGTTGGTGAGCGGTTTTTACTGGTCACTGACTCTTAAAGGTTACACACTCGTACATTATTATGCGTTCAAACAATTGCTTTATTTTCTAAGTGTTGGCTGGTACCCCATTTGCCCCCCCCCCCTTTCCTCCAGTGCCCCCTCCCGTCCCACACCTGAACTGGGACCTCGTAACCCGATTTAAAGACATCCCCCCCCCCCAGCTAGGGGGAGTACCGGTCGCCGGTCTTTGACCTTAGTCTGAACCAACTAACATGGGAAGCTAATTGGGGAAACACGTAATGAGATACCCTATTGTATTCGAGGTTAAGCCAGGGCATTGACCCCAAGCTGGGTGGTGAGGGCCAGAGAGAGAGAGAGGACAGTTGGACGTTAGCCTTAGAAGCAAATGGCCTGATGTTATGCTGTCATGCGTCTGTCCTGTGAGATGCTGTCCGGCATCTGTCATCGTAATGTCAACCTGTACATGTGCTGTTTTATGTTGTACAGTTCCTGTCGACGAGAAGTTTTCACGTAATTGTCGTAGAGATGCTTGTTGGCTAGATGATGTCGACCTGTTCTGTCTTGTGAGCTGCTGTCGCTGTACCTGTCGGCTAGATGTTGTCGCTGTACCTGTCGTCATGATGTCGACCTGTCTTGTGAGCTGCTGTCGCTGTACCTGTCGGCTAGATGCTGTCGCTGTACCTGTCGTCATGATGTCGACCTGTCCTGTGAGCTGCTGTCGCTGTACTTGTCGACAAGATGCTGTCCAGTACATATCGAGATGTCAACCTGAGACTGTCATCGAGAAGCTGTCCTGTTGACAGTCCCTGTCATGTCGCTTTGTCTGGCTGGGTAGTTTGTGAGTACCGGTACTGAAAGTATGTAGAGTGATGATAGTAAATTGTTATACGTTCTGATATTGTAACCCTGTAAACTATTGTATCGTATGGAATAGGTAAATAAATGTATTGAACTGTGGGTTAACATGTTTCATTTATAGTTTAATAATGGTGTTGTTTAGATGTATTAATTAGTTTTGCTCAGGTCTGGTAAACCTTCTTGTTCCAACGAGAATGCACGGATTTGAGAGAATAAATATCATATCTCTCACCTCATCGGTAACTCCACCCCCTTACATAAGTTTTAAACGATTTATCTACTCATTAATCTCGAGTACATTTTCTTCCGAATAACGTTGGCGAAAAGACCTTTCCTCCAGAGTTTCTTCCAGGTATCTCTTCGAAATTTTTTTACCGCCCCCCCCCCCCCGAACGAAATGAAATTTATATAATCTATATAGAAAATATATACTTTTAACAGTGTCCGCCCCCCGAAGAAAGTTTACCGCCCCCCCCCCCCCCCCCCGAAGATTTCAAGTGCCCCCCCCCCGGAGAAAAAAGTCTGGAAGAAACACTGCTCTCCTCCTACCCTCCACCAAACTCGGAAAAAAGTAGCTGAGCTGTTTTTACCGGTCACTGACTCTTTAGGATATTGTTAGTTTTACTTTTAGACAATTAATCAAGGCAGAAAACAGTTAAATCAGTGTGCAAAGCCTTTGTACGTACTACGTAACCGTCTTTAACATTTTTTTCTTATCTTTAACTGTGTATAATCAATTATTCAATATTGTAGCTGTTATATTTTTTTCCCTAACCTGTGGGGGTCGGCGCCCCCCCCCCCCCACCATCCCCCAGTATATATCTAAATTTCGATTATCGTCTAGAATTCTAGATCTAAATCTAAGGTCTAGACTAAATCTTTTCTAGATTAGATATCTAGATCTAGATCTAGTCATTCTATTCTAGATAGATATCTAGGTCTAGATCTAGATCTAATCTAAATAAAATTCAGAGAGAAATCTATTATTTTTTTCTGCCGGAAGTAAGATTATTCATTGTGTTAGTCATTTAGTGTAGGTGATCCTAACGTAAACATTTCGCCTAATCTTAGAATCTACGCTTTAGTAAACTTTTGTTAGTGAATTGAGTATTGAGTTAGATCTATTCAAAAGATCTAGATCTAGCTTTATTTATTTATTTATAACCAACAGCAGTAACAGCTGCTTTAGAATTTAGATTGTTGATCAACAGTACCGAGTACCGACGGATACTGTCACTGAATCGTACGTAGTCTACAGTACAGTAATGGCCACAAAACGAATTAATAAGGTAAAATATAAAATATTTTATTTTAAAATAATATTATAATATTAAATATTTTAGCTTATTATAATTATAGTAATTATAGCCTTAGCATTAGGCCTAGGTCTTTTATTGCCTAAGTATCTAGATTTAATAATAATACGTAATAATACATATATCTCTTCTGGGAGATGTTACTGTTAGAAAACAAGCTGCAAGCGCGCCTTGCCCCCACCCCCCACATGGTCTGGTGAGCTGTGATTCACTCTAAATATTTACATTCGTAGAGCCGGGTTTAGTGACGGCTATTAGGGGCAGATAATTTAGTTTGAAACGATTTTAAACTTAGGGGAGGTAACTAAGATGTCTAAGAGGAGGCTGCTTTCATGGGGGGGGGGATGGTTGGGGGAAAGGGGGGGAGGTAGTGTTTTAAAGCAAATATTTTCAGTGGCAGCATTGGTACTGTCCAACTACAAATTATGAATTACTGAAAAGTAGAAAATAAAACAACTAAATAGCGGTGTATGATACGCCGCGGGTCGGCTCGTTATTATTATTAGGCTTATGGCTTATAGTTAGTATACTAAGTATAGTATAATATTAGTATAGGCCTATTTATTACTATTTAATTTATTATTAGTAGTAGTCACTACTAGCAGTAGTAGGCTAGTAAGTATTAAACTATTAAGTACTATTAAGTAAGTAAGTAGTAGTAGTAGTAGTAGCGGTAGCCATTTGATTATATTATAATATAGGCCGATGCTAGCCGGAAAAAGATACGCATGCGCAATGGAGAGAAACTACGACTTGCCATCGCGCCGATGTTTTCGATGGTACTGCGCATGCGTGTGTTTACAACCGCAGAACCCTAGCCCTAACCCCAACCCTAATCTAATCCTAACCTTATCCCTAATCCTATCCCTAACCCTAGCCCTAATCATATCCCTAATCCTAACCCCAGCCCTAATCCTACCCCTAACCAGAGGCGTAGCGACCCTTTCCGGCGGCCGGGTATAAACTTTTCGATTTGCATCCCCCCTCAAGATTTCGATTTGCACCCCCTCTCAAACTTTCGATTGCCCCCCCCCCCCCCCTCATACTTTTGATTTGCACCCCCCTCAACCTTTCAATTTATTTTTCCAACCCATTTTGGCGCCCCCGAAGGTCGGCGCCCGGGGACATATGTCACCCCCCCCCCCCCCCCCCCCCCCCCTTGCTAGGCTACTGCCCCTAATCCTAACCCTAGCCATAGGTCACTGCGCATGCGCAGAACTATCTTTTTCCGACTAAGTGGAGACGTTGGGGAAGAAAAATCTTTTTCCGAGTAGTCACTTAGTATAATATAATATTATACCAACATTGTCACATTAGTCATTAGGCTAGTACCATTGTCAGAAAGTGTCTATTACATTTTAACCTGTAATACATCTTTTTTTTAAAAGGGCGATTCTATTATTGTGACGACATTATTAGTAACACATACCCCCAAGTCCTGCTATAACCATAACTCTAATTCCGATTATAACACTAAACTTGACTAAACCTAAGATTATGATACTATTGTGGAACCACTGTATTGTTATCTTTTAAAAATAGTAGAACTAAGTTTAGTCCAAATTTCGTCTGTCTTAGTGTATTTGAGTAAAGAATGATGGCACAGCATTGGGTGGTAGAGTGTACAACTGGCAACTAATAACTTGAAAGTTTGAGTTTGGATCCCGAGCTTGAGTCCGTAGGACATTCCTCAGTTCATTCAACTTATGGTACCTGACTTAATTGAAAGTAAAGGGTGAGGTATAACACCTGTAATCAACTGCCCAGGTGTAATGAGTGTCGCAGGGCTTTCGTGTGAACCACTGGTATAACTACCACAGTTGCCCTGTGCGCCACTGTGTTTTGGTTTGGTAATAGATTGTGGTAGCCTAATGGGAAACCAAGGTTTCTCCTGGTCCCACGACTGCAGGAGGATGTCCCTTGTTCGATTTTGTCAACAATTATAGTAGCTTATCTAATGCGTAGTGTATGACACGCTTTAAAATGAATTGAGGCGCCATAGTGGGACACAGTAGGGACCGGCAAACGTGTTTGGTTCGATTTAGTCAATAGTAGCCGAATGTATCCATAGTGTATGGCACTCTTCAAAACAAATGTATTTTTCTCATTGTGGAGCCCAGGGTGCACTAGATGTGCCTGTTGTAGTTTGACATTGAATCAAATAGTACCCTACCCTTGACACCAGTGCAGGATGCCCATTTACTAGATCCCAGGTGCTAAGATAAAATTGCACTCAACTGCAGGGGCAATGCTCCTCAGAAAAAATTTGTTTCATTGCACAAACCTTCCCCTAGAGTATTCTCAATAACTTCCCAAAGCCACATATTGTTGAAAAGAACATAACATTTTGTAAAAAAAAAAGGCAGTCTTATTCATTAGACATGCTTACCTTGACAATTAAAAAAAAAAGAATGTTTGAGGCTAGGGTTGTTTGATGTATGAATTAGGGTTGGGATTAGATGTAAATTTATGGTGGTGAAAAGTTACTGAAACAAATTGCTTTGAGTGCTAATGCTTTAATAATTACCCCAGAATATTTAGTAAACTATAGATTTACAGACAATAACAAATGAATTGTATACTGGTTGCATTACTTTAACATTTTGATTAGTTGCATAGCTAGTTTGGTGAAGAGAGTCAGCACTAATTAAAAGTTATACTTGATAGGGTGGCAAAATCAAGTCTGTATGGTGATGTTGGTTGTTACTTTTAATTAGACCAAAAAACAAAGGTGATTGTACCTGATCAACAATGACAACACGATTTTTATGGTCTCCTATTAAACTTTTTTATGTGACTTAAAAAATCAACACTGAATTTTTATAACTTGACTTTGCCATATGCTGTATCCTTAATAATCTCAAGATTGCAACTTTGAAAAGAATCATGCAGCTGAATTCAGTACTTTGTACCTATGGACCAAGAAAAACTGAAAAAGTTTTATTCATATTAATTTTGGTTACTTTTTCTAATTGCTGTGTTTCTGCATGCACTAAAAATGTATGTTTACTATAAATTTATTGGAACTTTTCATCTACATTTTAACTAGTTGGCTGTTTTAGTTATAGGCTTCAGTTTTTGGACATTTATTTTTTGCTTCATAATAGGTTAAGACATTTCTTTAAAGTAAATACAATAGAAATAAACAGCTTGGTTGGGTGATAGAGCACTTGAATGCTAACCCAAAAGTCTTGAGTTCAAATCTCAAACTCAGGTGTGTTAGAAGTTCCTGAGTCCACCCCACTTTGATGGGTACCTGACTCAGGGAAAGTAAAGGCATAATGGGCATAATGCTGGACACATGACCCCTTCATATGACAGGGTCAATAACAATCAAGTCTGAAAGGGTAACTTTACATTCAAATTGCATGAAATAATAGAAGACATTTTACACTCTTCAGGAGCTTCAGGATTTACGCAGAGATCCACCTGCTGGCTGTTCTGCCGGTCCTGTGGGAGATGACTGTAAGTATCTGCCATATTGTGTAACATCAGTCATATTTTAAATTTTGTTTCACTTTTAACAACAAAAATACATATTTCATATAAATGATTTTCTGTAATTAATACTGTTTACTATTTTAGAGGTTTTTACATTTCCGTAGAAATAATGTCCAACCATTTGTTAGAAATGGTGTGACCTTTTTCAATATTAACTTAGAAATATAGAGCATTAATAATAGATTCTTACTTTTATATTGAATTTTAAAGTTATTTTAATTTCAGTGTATCAGTGGGAAGCAATGATTCAAGGACCTGTAAGTACTTTAAAAATTTTGATATAATGTTTTAGATTTTTTTAATAAAATAAACCATTCTTGTTCTAAATCAGGGGTCTCCAAACTTTTCAGTCCGAGGGCCGCATTAACTATCAAATTTCAGACCGGGGGCCAGTTTCTTCCAGGCATGTCTTTGATTTTTCTGGGCAAAGTTCCTCAGCAATCACCAAAGAACGTTTATTCCGTGGACAAAAAGATCTCCGCGGGCCGGATGAGAGGACCTCGCGGGCCGCATCTGGCCCGCGGGCCGTAGTTTGGAGACCCCTGTTCTAAATTGTAGGATCAGTAATTCAATGTTTAAGTAATACTACTAATACTTACATTAGCTTCTCTAATCTTAAAAAGAAGGGAACTCTCAGTTTAAACCCAATCCATTATAAATATACTAGGGTGCTCGTCCCCACGCATTGTCGCTGATTCAGTTTAGTGAAAATCTATAATACTACTTCTTATCCATATTCCATCAACACTCTTTAAAACAAATGTATGCGCTATAGCAAAACCAGGATAGCCCGGGTCCCAAATTGCACCTGGTCTACCGCCAGCAAATGTGCCATATCCCTCACGTCATAGGGGGGTGGGGGGAAATTGCACCCTGCCAGGGCGCCGGCGGACCTGCCTGATTCAATTTATTGAACGACTATAATGGCCCATTTTATCAATAGTCTATCTCACTGTTTAAAAAGAACATAGGTGCCATAGCGCTCACTGGAAAGGCCGGTCGCCAAATTGCACTCTGAACGGGGTGACTTGTGCGAAATTGATTTTTTTCCCTTAGAAGCCTTCTCGGTAGTATTCTCATCAACTCCCCAAAGTTTGATGGCGATCGAATGAATTGTGTCAAACTGCAATCGACTTTTATTTTATATACCGTATTTATAGAAAAAATAAATCGCGTCTTACTGGGTCTGCCACCCTTGCAAATTTAAAAAAAAAAATTTCCCAGAAACCTCACCAGGAGTATTCTCATTTACTCCCCAAAGTTTCATGGCACTCACATGGACTGTGTCTTTTATAAACCGTATCGCACTCTCCCTGTGCGAAATTAAAAAAGATTTTTTGCAGAACCCTTCCTTGTAGTGTTCTATATAACTCCTCAAAGTTTCATGGTGATCGGATGAAGTGTCAAACCGAAATAGACTTATATTTTTATATACCGTATTTAGAGTAAAAAAAAGTGGCGCCCTACCAGGCCATCCCTGGGAATTTGAAAAAATTTTCCCCGCAGAAACCTCCCCAGAAGTATTTTCAGCAACTTCCCAAAGTTTCATGGTGGTCTGATGAAAGGTGTAGTAATGCATAAAAGACAGACAAACAAACACATGTACATTGCTTTTTGTATATATAGATAGATAATCCCCAAAGACCCAACCCCTTTTTAATTTTTTTATATCAGATTTATTTAAAGGTAACATGCCACCCCCACCCCAATCCATGGCACCATTTGCTTTTTAGGTAAATTAAAGGAATCTTTTTGAAAAATATCTTCCATAGAATCTATTGCAAAGATTCATATTGTGTTTCAAAAAAAGAATGTGTAAGCCAGGTGTTGCTTCTTATTTATGTATTTAATTTTTAATAGTTTTATTACAGAAAAAAAAGAATACAAAAAAATCAAAGGCATTGTTATAACGTTTTAAAAGTGGAACTCACACCACTAGAGATATTAGCTCTAAACTTCTCACAGCAAGCAACAATCAACAGGCAGTGTTATATAACATTGCTTTAAACTACTTCCCAAACTTTGACGATAAAAACAATATGATAAACCCCCACCTTATCCTCTTTGTGCTATATAATAGGCCATGACTGCAAGTCCCAGTAAATGATTTGTCTTTAGATGGGGAAACCCCTGCATCTACCAGGTTAATGTCTCTAGGTTACCAACTGACGTCAGGTGTATTATGCAGTTGTGGCTGTTGTACTGATCACGCATATGCCTCATATTATGTGATTATAGAAATAGATGAAGTGTCCTTTTCTTGTTACACTATCAAGTTGTAAGGGCATATTTCTTTTTACTCTTTTAACTTTGTAGTTGGTTTAAGCAAAACAATAGGCCTATACAATAATATTAACACCAAGCTGACCCGCGGCGTATCATACGCAGCTATTTAGTTGTTTTATTTTCTACTTTTCAGTAATTCATAATTTGTGAATTCGACAGTACCAACGCTGCCACTGAAAATATTTGATTTAAAACACTATCAGTAGCTTGTTAAGGACGATACCCCCCCCTCCTTTCCCCAACCCCTACCACACCCCCCGTGAAAGTAAACTCCTATTAGTTACCTCCCCTAAGTTTAAAATTGTTTCAAACTAAATTATCTGAACCACAGCTCACCAGACTATGTAGGGGTGGGGGTGGTAGGGAGCGCGATTACAGCTTGGTGTTTTCTATCATTTCCAAGAAGAGAATTATATATATAGATAGTTAAATATTTTCTGGAAGCACTTTAAAATGATTGCATATCATTCATTACTTATAAGCATCAAATTGACTAATCATCCTTTAAGGTATCCACTGAGCCTGGAGCTGGGGGGTCTGACACAGTATGATCAGTGTGTGTGATCAGTGTGTGTGGTCAGTGTGTGTGTGTGGTGATGGCGAGGGTGCATTTGGGTTCACGTTGACAGCCACAAGCCAAAATTAACATGAATATACTTCCAAAACTTTATCTTGCATACAAAAATACTAATTGTTTTGTGCATTACATTCAAGAAAAACCCAAAGTACACATATTACATTTGTTGTTTTTGTTTTTTTTAGCCGGATAGTGCATATGCAGATGGTGTTTTTTCTTTGGCCATTCATTTTCCTACAGATTATCCATTTAAACCACCAAAGGTTTGGAACTATTTTATATGATAGTTGTCTCTCTGGCTAGGTTATTTTCTGGAAAACTTAGTTATTAAGAAAAACATATTTATAAAATAAATATTTACATTAATTTTAAGTAACCTTTCCTAAGATAGTGTACTTATGCAGTTGAAGCTCAACATTTTTCAGACATCAAAATTTCTTAATGTTATTTCGTTTTTGTATTTACAGATCACATTTACAACAAAGATTTACCACCCAAATATTCACAGTAATGGTAGTATATGCCTCGACATACTCAGGTCACAATGGTCACCTGCTCTAACCATATCTAAAGGTATAACTTTTCCACATGATATGCTTTGTTCATTATTGTTGAAAGCTTCATAATTATAAAGGAAACATATAGCTAAACATTGGTATATTTTATTTCCACAGTTCTTATTTCAATTACATCACTGCTCACAGATCCAAATCCAGATGATCCCCTAGTCCCAGAAATAGCCAGAGTTTATAAAACAGACAGATCTAAATATGAAGAATTAGCTAAAGATTGGACAAAGAAGTATGCAAGCTCTTGACTGGAATAGTAGGTCTGATGTAAATAATTTAACTTTTTGAACAACCTTTGGGGTCAGCATAGTCTAATTGGTAAAGCTCGTAGTTGCAAAGTCCCCAGTTTGAACCCTCTGGCAGATGAGACACGACTGTTGGGGACAGCAACTTTTCTTGGAGAGACAACTCCAAAATCAAACAACTGCTGCCTTGTAATTTATTCTTAGTTGGACAAAGGCTATGGAAGCAAATCCAAAACGAAAAGCAGGCTGAAATCTGAGTCAATAGTCTATATGGGGCATAACAAGTTGACACATATACTTAATAGTATTGGAGGGATTCTCTTCCAACACTAAAATTAAGAACACAGAAGAAGAAAAGAAGAACAACCTTTCTAAATAATTACTGTTTTAGAATTTTTCATAGCTGAAAACAACAACTTGTTTACAATTTTAACAAAATTTTCTCAAAAAAAAGTGTTATCACTTACTTAGCTTCAAGATAACTGGTCTTGTTGAGATTTTAGCTTTTATCCCTTAAGTACAGGGTCCATATAGGATGAATAATTTTTCTAACAAAGCATGTTTGTTTCATGAATTCCAATTTTACTTTAAATTTGAAATGTAGTTAGCACTTATTGAGCGCATTAGCATACGGTTAGGTAAAAAAAAATAAATCAATTGCAACTTTTTTAAAATCATGATTTTGAAGATGAGCACTTTAGATTTATGAATCCACGGTCTGTCCGCCTGCCACATACAGAATTGAACTTTATATTTTAGATATATAGCACCTTTTTAGCTTCGCTACTCACACTATCGAAAGGTTAGGATGATAGAAAAATGAATTGCATTTATAACAATGTTTTATAAAAGTATTTCTTGTATTTATGTTTTTAAATTTTACCTTTTCAGGTGAAGTATTAATTGCCTTCTGCTATAGTATAACAAGGGTGCATATTGTATGCTGGTTTTTAATATTGTCAAAGTGCTTAGAAATTACAAAATGTTGTTTATGATCTGCCATATTGAGTAGAGATAATATACATCTAAAAATAAAAAAAAAAACAATTGTAATTTAATTAATTTTACACTTTGTCTTGCTTGTATTGTATTATTCTTAAGAAAAGCTCTCCTGTCAATTTATTAAACTTTTTCAAACAAAAGACATATTCTTATAATAAATGAAAGTGTTTACTTCAAAAGTTACTTCTAAAGGGTTGTCAGTCATATCAGTTTGATAATAATAATCTCATTGCCATAATAAACATGCCCTACATACTTCAGGATATCGGATTGACAGTCTGTTTAAATGTTCCTTTATGGAAGAATATTAAAGTATTATTTTTAAACATATCCATATATTTGAATTTTGAAACCTCAACGGTTTAGACATTTTTTTTTATTCTTCTACATTATTTAAAATAAGTTACTTCAGCAGATGTTGCTATAAATGCTCAGAACTTACTATAATTTTTTTAAAGTTACCTCTGCATGGGGTTCAAAGTGCAAAATTGTATATTTCCTTTTCAAGAAAAAAGACATTAACACAGTTAGCACTTACATCACTGTTAAATATTTTTAGTTTATATTTTGAAATGAACGAATATTGGGTTAGATGCCTTAGCTCAAGAAAAAAATTCATTTTTTTTTTACTTTTAAAATATTACTAACTTAAATACATATATGATGTAAAAAAAGTGATACAAATAATTTACACATTTTATTAATTTGTTTTGCAGCTATAAAGCTAGGTAATTTATTGCAGATTTTTTTTATAACTAAAGCTTTAATAAAATGTCAAAACAGAAACACTAGAAATGTGTAATGTTAAAAATAAGGTTATAGTTTATCCTTCATAATTTTGGAATAATAGATGCAAATTATTATGAATGAATACTCAAAAACTTTTAATCCTTTATAAATACTATTTTCTTTGTAATAAGGGCAAGTGATTTTTGTTTGTTCCATTCTTTCCTAACACTAACTTAAATATAGATTTGTAATACTAAAGACTCCATACCATACAATTACTAGTATTTTCAAAATAAAAATATTTGTGTAAATTATAATATAAAGGCATAATTTTTAGAAATGAAATTCAGTTATTTCAATTATTTTTTAATTATAAAAAGGTTCAAATTCTTTAATAAAAACAAAAAGCACAATTAGAGTGAATATTACATAAACTTTTTTTGAGATTATTTTCTATACACACATTGCATTTGGTCATATTATTAACTAATTATTATTGAGAGCTTATCTGTTACTTTTTAAAAAAATTTTTTACCTTATTTAAAAAATTTGTTTTAGTATTTAAAAAAAAAGCATTATTATTATCAAGCATTGCTTTTTCAGGGCATACTTATAGATTTTCAGAAAAAAAATCAAGAGTATTTGTCAACACGATTTTATATATCATACATAGATATGTATGATATACAAATATGCACATAAATATATATATGCATATTTGCATATCTACATGTGTGTATGTGTATATACATACTTGTATGTTTATATATGTGTGTGTGCACGTAATGAATTTTTGTTTATATATGTATGTTTGCATACATTTGATCATTCAGTTTGTAAATTTATACCTAGTAAACATACAAGTGATGCTAAATATTTATCTTTATGAGAGAATCAACCAATGTTGTTATAATAATTTACTAGCAATTTATGAGAATAAAAATGTGCTGATAATGTTCTCAAAAAGACAAAGGTGTATGAGTAAATAAATTCTGTATGTGCAGTTAGTTTTGTTTTTTAATGGCTCAGACCATCGCAAAAAAAAAACCTATTACCTGTACTATCTTTTTGTGCCTTGACTAATGAACACATTTTGCTCAGGTTATGGAATGTTACATAGCATAGAAGACAATATACTTGTGACATTATGCATTTGTACAGCAATGATGGATCATTTTACTGTCATGTAGAGGCTGTCCCCTATACAATTTCAATTTGGTATAAATAATTTGAGTAAGTTGACACAATTGCATTTTCTCTATAGTGTGCAGGTCACTACTTCACTTTTAGTGACATTGGCATATAAAAGAAAAATTGTGGCCCAGCAGCCTTTATTTTTATTATGAGTCAGGTATCAGTCAGAGCTGGGTGGACGTTCTATGGAACTGAGCAGAGGATCAGAACTCAAGATTTTGGGTTAGCAGGCAAACACTATTTGACCACACCCTTGTGTAGTGTGCTCTTGAACAAATATTGTTCATGGGAGGAGCCGCAAGGGCTATGGGTTGATGCATGAAAAGATCCTGGTTCTGTCAGTGCTGAACAAGCCACAAGTTAACTCTACCTGATGACCGCTGTATTTGATTCTGTGGTTGGCAAAACAAGAGACACCTTAATTTCAGCTTAAGATAAGAGGCGTGTGGGCTTCAATATACAAGACAATAAACATTATCAGTGCAAGTGATGAGTCAATTTCTGCCAGAAAGGAAAGGTGGTTTCTATGGTGCTTACTTTATTTGAACTGTTAACCCAAAAAGAGCAAGTAGGCCTAATATTCCATATTAACTATGGACAAACTATTCAACTCCTATATAAATAGGTGGCGACTGGAACTAAGAAACTGTCATCTTGTCAATATGTGATTGGATCTACAATACGTAGCTAATTGGCTGTTTACATGACAATCACTAGCATCTGGGTAGTGTAACTGCAGCTGGGCTGCTTGTAAAACTTTCCTGTTTCACTTTCAGTTGCACATTTCTGTTAAAGCAAAAACAGCAGCACACAAGGGAGCCACCAGTTACAACAATACCAATTATAGTAGCCCACAGCATAAAATATAAAAACTGAGTCAACATCCACCTTTAAGTTTCAGCCTAAACATTAACTGAGTAGACAAGACAGAGTGACTTTAAGTTTGGAAATACTATATATTATATTTTGTATTTTTGGAAAAATGGCATATCAAGAGAGGGCAAAACATGTTAACCAATCCTAACCTATATGTCTGAATATTTTTTTGACATAAGCTAATAATAATGAGGAGTCCTATTACTTAATTTGCCTTTACTTTTAACCAACTATTTTGTATTTTTTTGGAGAATAAAACATTTAACTGATATTACTTCAAAGAAAAATAAAACAGCAGTTGCACAGATATCTTTTATATTTATATGTATGATGAAGACAGTGTCGAAACTTATAAAATAAAGAATTAAATTAACAAGTCTTTCACAGTACAGACAATATCTTCAATGGCTAAAATTTTACAGTGAGTTAAAATAAACTAAAACATGATTTAACAGACATGACATAAAAAGTAAAAATATGATAAGATGAACATCAAATAATGATATTGTGTCTCAGCATTACAAAATTTTACACTGTATTAAAATTCCTTTCATCCCATTGTCACGCTATAATACATCAGATGGTTAGCTTTCCTTGTTTAACTTGTGTCCATCTGAAAACAGTTTTAAAATGTTCATTTCATCTCAAAGAAAAAGAGTAGCTATTTAAATGATATAAAATAAAACTAAGGAGAAACGAGCAGTAGAAAGTGTGAAAAATCTGAATTTTCGCCATGATCTGATATTACCGAACGTACTGAACAATTTCTGATACAGAAAATTATGACTTGAATATTTACAATTTTCTAAAAATAAATTTGTAAAAGCATTTTTATTCTACAGTTTAAAAATATTTTTTATTATAATTTACTTGAATAGTCTGATAACAGCACCTTAATATATTTTAAATATGTTAGTTTTCTATGGTTTCCATGACAACCATAATAATATTCACAATATTTTATTTTAGTTAAAAAAAATCATTAGAGATTTTAATTGTTTAAAAAAAAAAACCCAATCAAAGATCACTTAATTCTTCGCAATAACAGTATTTTTCCTTTCAATTTGAAGACAAAATATAAACCATTGATTCCATTAATTAACATGTCAGAAAAAAAAAACCTTCAAAAAATAAATAAACCCGAGCAGTCAATATTGAGAAATTTTAAATTTCATACACACTTACCTTAGCATTATATGCATCTAATTGTGCATCCAAATCTTCAACAGTGGGCAGATCTTTCTTTTCACGTCCACCTCTACCGCCACGCCCTCTGTTTCCACCACGACCTCCTCTGCTTCCCCCACGGTATCTGTTAATATAGGATCATAGAAATGAGATTTTAAAAAAAATAAACATAAGAGGTACCAGCACAATAAAAATTTGAAACTTTTACTAGTACAAGGTATATTAAGTAAACAAATTGTGATACTGAAATGGAAACAATTATTACCAAACCAACTGAATCCCCTTAGAAAGTCTACTCACCCTCCAGTTTGCCTGACACCCCCTCCTCTTGTACCAAGTCGTGAGTTAGCACTTCCTACTGCAGGTGCACCTACCAATTGTATGTTCATGGGCCGACCTGAACAGAAAGTGTTCATTTTAGAAAAAACACTAAAAGGAAAGTATGAAGAAGTTAAAAATAAAATCTATAATTAGCATATTTCACATGCTTACCATCTAGTGGAACATTATTATACTGCTTTAATGCTTTAACTGCATCTGTTCTTCTCTGATATATCACTTCTGCTGTTCCCAATGAACGACCAGATCTGTCAAAATGCACTGCTGCTTTTACTAATGCCCCAAATTCAGAGAACAGCTCCTAAAATATATTTTTTTAAAATTAAAGAACGTTAGCAGATGATTAGAATACTACAAAAAGTTAAATTTTTTGCTATATAACAGTTGAACACACCTGAATATCAGAATCATTAACCCCAAAGTCAAGATTTGAAACTAGTAATTTTCCAGAGCCGCCACTTGGTGTACTTCCACCCCGTCTGGCCGGTGTGGAGGAAGCCCCATCATACATATCATGCTGCCAAACATCTGGTACATCCCTGGTCTGTGAAAATGATAAACAACATTTTCAAATTAAAAGGTAAATGCCTTTCCAAAAAGGTAATTTTTAAAACTTACATTTTATAAGTTTGGAATACAGTTCGAGACTAATAGCCCCCTTGGTTTTTAATGTGTAACAGATTTATAGATACCCTATGAATCTACAATTTAAGGAAAACCTATGGTACAACTTTAAAGAAAGGACCCAACAACACTCCCACAAAACTCCTGCACACCTCTCCCGACATCCAACTTTTTTATTAAGTCATACAAAAACCAAAGTTACTTCTTTTATTACCACATCTAAATTTTAAAATGATAATAGAGAATTATTTACTAGCTATTAATAAAGAAGTAGAAAATTCATCATGTGAATATACTAATAGCAGCAAAAAATATTGAAAGGGTACAAGATTTGCATCTAGATAGAAATAAAAAATCAGTCTACCAGTTTCCTGACTGCTGCATACAAACATCTTCCTCCGCAATCTTCTGCTATTTACACTACATTGTCCTCAACTCACAAGTTACAAAGTATGTCAACTTTCATCATTAAAATTATTAATAATCTGACCTAGTTATCCAAGTATTAATGTTTAAATTAAGTAAAAAATATATTACCAAAGCCATAATGTGTTTTATAAACTTAAAATTCATAAGCTATAACTAATACTATCTTACAATTAAAATTATTATGATGTTGATCAATAAGTTTTGCTCTGAGAATGATAAAAACTTGATAGAGTAGTTAACTATCCTAATTCTAACCTGAGTTATATAAGTTGTGTCAAAATTATTTCAAACAATGATCGAAGATTCAAAGAATAGCCTAAGAAAACAATCACATTGAAGTTAAATTCTAAATCAGATAAAAAGTTCGAACAATAAAGACGAGAAACTCCATGTTTACACTTGCGACATGTATACCATACACGTCTTGGACAAAAAACTCACAGCCAGTATACAATTGTTTTAGGGCTCTATGGTGCACATTGGGACCTGGCAGGCTTTAGAGGCGAGTCACGCAAGAGAGTGGTATTGTGGAAACACTTTTAGTATTTGCAATTTTCACTAAATTTTAAAGTACATTACACTTAAAATTAATTAAATATACTTTGAATTGTTTTTGTTTGCTTCAAATCATATTTCTGATGACATATGTTTCAATGCTGACATTGTCGTTGATTATGAATTTGGATAATGTTGTGAACTATCTGAAACTAAATTTGATTTGCAATTTCTTTTATTTTCAGATTGCACATGTGTAAGCTCATTCATTACCTCTCCAGGGGTAGAATAAGATGGATTGACGGAATCTGGAGTGTTTCTCATTTCATAAGTAGGCCAATTTATTTTGGATTTTATAGGCCTATGTGGTACTTTTAAATTCTTGGATATGTTTTGAGTGTGCTGTTTATTTTTAAAACACTGACACATTGGTAAGTAGTAGATGTATATTAATTAGCCTTAATAGTTTTTCTCACTAAATCTCAAATTTACCCAATTTTCAATTTAAACATAATCACATGAATAATAGACATCCATATTTTATCCGTTAGGCACTTATTTTGAAGCTTTTAGTTCATTTTAAACTAAATTAATTAATGTAATATTTATTGTCACTCACAGCTATGGTACGAAACACCTCACCATGACAACACATGTTTGATGCCACGGCAAACTACGAATCAGTTCGGCTTTTTAATTGCAGGGTTCCTACACCAAAGTGAACTTGAAATTCCAGGAGTTTTTCAGGAGAAAACCCAAAATTCCAGGACATAATTTAACCTATTAAAAGCAACAATGACTCAACCCCACGCTTAATGGAAGGGAGTTTGACATTCCTTAATTTGGAAGTGGTCTTTATAAAATGCTATGTAGCATAGCATTTGTAATTTTTAAAAGTAACTGTTTCTAAACCATTTAGTTTAGTTAAAGTAGATTCAATTTTGCACATCACCCCTCCCATTTATAAATTGTTATTCATAAAATTGCTATCTCTCCTTTCTCTCTCCCCCCCCCCTTGGAAAATTTGGTGGCACTAAGTAGATTCAATTTTGCACCCCACCCCTCCCATTTATAAATTGTTATTCATAAAATTGCTATCTCTCCTTTCTCTCCCCCCCCCCCCTGGAAAATTTGGTGGCACTTTTTACCAGTCACTATCCTGTAACAATTTTTATCTTTGTACTACACAATTGAGGTAGAGAAAAGTTGAATCAGTGTGTAGTCTTGTAGCAGTTTATTTTAACTTTGACTGTGCATAATTTAATACTTCAGCATAAAATGATCTTTTTTAAAACAAAAATTGTATCCCTTTTCATCAGGGCGCCCCCCCCCCTACCCCACCCCCCACTTATGCCAATGACTACTTAAATATATAAATGTGACACTTTTCTTAAACAACTACTCACTGTCCATATACACCCTCCCCAGCACCAGTTTTAAGGCCTGTTGTCACAAATTGATCTCATAAATTTCCCACCCTCCCTTACCACAAAAGAAATAAATCATACAGAGATGTAAACAGACTATTGAAAATAACAGTTCTTTATCTCTCTCCCCCCCCCCCCCCCCAAAAAAAAAACTTTAAAAATATTAGAAAACAATTTCAGCAATAAACTAATTTAAAATCTTAATTAAATGTTTGCACTTTTGTTTTCAATTCAATGATTAATGAAATAGTGTGAATAAATTCACTTAGTAAAATAATTATAAATTAATTTAGATGTTTGCTACTGAGAAACATATTGAGCCTAGCAATCATAGCTATATCCCAGTGTCAAGTGACTTAACCCCTCACAAATGTCATCATCCGTACTAACAATGTCAATTATGAACAAACAGAACAGCTGAAACCATATCTTGTCTTGTAAAAATGGACATGACATTGTGATTTAGATGGGAGTCTTCAACAGTAAATAGCCTAACTGTAATTTTAACTTATCATTTGATGAACAAGTAGATCAACCTGAGTAGCTTAGATTTGTCCTACTAGAAATAAACTGTATTTTGGAAATAAGGGCAAGGGGTCATCCATAAATGACGTTGCGGTTGTTTTTTTACGATTTGTACCCCCCCTCCGGCACACGTCGTCACAAAAAGCCAGACCCCCCCCCCTAAAATGACGTCACACCTTAGCCTACAATCCCTATCAAAATTGATGATTTTTTTTCTTAAAACATCGATATTTTTCCAAAATCTTGCCAGAACGCCGTCAACATAGAGTATTTTGATCAATTCCTATTACAATTTATTAAAAGTTTTCTAAAACGCAAAAAAAAAAAAACCCGGCTAAAATTTGTTTTCTAACATTGCTTTTTATGATGCAAAAGTGTGTTGTCCCAGCATCTGAACCCAACCCCCCCCCCCCCCTCATCACACACCATCACAAAATTATGGACCCCCCTCCCCCAACGAGTGTGACGTCATTTATGGACGACCCCTAATACTTGAAAAATTTAAATTATTTCAGCCAATAAATAGAATTTCAGATAGATCTAGTAAATTTTTCCCTCCAGCTAGACACTGTCGCGCTGGGTAAGTTTGAGTTCATCTAAGCTTACGGTTGGCCTGTAGTATACTGCTGATGACATCACTAGCGGGTCACACAGAGTTCATTTCATATACCCAACCAGCGGTCCTCCCTCCCCCCACCCTGTCGTGGGAAAGAAACTGAGATGCGGGATGGGAGGGTGGTAGTATTACAACACGCATGTAAAAATAGAAAGTAGATATAGTGCCTATCGGACTGTAGATTCAAATTAGCTGCGCAAAAACTAGATTTTGGCCTAGGCCTACTTGAAATTTCCAATTTAAGAAAAAAGTCAGGCCTATTAAACAGAGCCGCACACATAGAAAGACGTGAGAAAAAAAATTAAACCAAACCCACATGGTAAGACAGCTTTAGGACTATATTTTAAAATGTGTGCCTTGTAATGCGAAGAATTGAAAAGGCAGAACATTTTTACTGGGGCGGTCAGATTGATTACCTAGAAATCGAACGCGCGAAAAAAATATTCGCTTAAATGATCGATGCGAGTAAAATTCCAGGACATATTACAAAATTTCAGGAGAAATGTTAAAATTCCAGGAGAATTCCAGGACATCCTGGAATTTCAGGAGGCCACGGGAACCCTGTAATTGGCTATGCACAAGAGCGGTCACGTGGCTAAAAAAATATTTTTTTTTTATTTGGCTGTCATTCAATGGTAGAGTTTTATAAAAACGTGGCATGCAATCTATTTGATTTTTTTCCCCATAGATTGATAAACCTAATAGTAGGTTGAATTATGGATTTTTTTAAATAAAATATTCTGTTATTTCAAATACACCATTAAGTTCCTTACCCCTTAAGAGAACATTTGACACCACATTTGAATATCTAGCTTACTCGGTTGACGAGAAAAGAGAGAATTTGAAATTTTTCCGATATTAGAAAATGAAAGACAAAACCGCGTTTTAGCCCCTCGACCGGCATAACATTACGTCGTGGACGTGTGTACACGAGCTATTAATTCCCGCCATGGTAATTGCGTCAGCTTAGGTTATTTACTCACCGGAAAATAACAAAAAGCAACTGAACAAAAAGCAACTGGTTGATAATAAAACTAGATCTAGTTATTTTATTATTTATTAAATTCTACTCTAGATCTACATGTTATTCATACCATTTTATGAAATAATGAGCACCTGCATAAATCAAATGACCATAATAAATATTTTTATTTCAAATCCTAATTTTAAATAATATATGCATAAAATAATATGATAGTGTAATAGTTAAGATAGTTTATAAATAAAAATACATTTTACACTCAATCACTTTATATTGAGTCAACAGTGTGGCAGCTGAGGTTCATACATGGTATTAGTGTCTTTTTTTTTTTTTACATTACATTTTTTTTCATCTTGAAAACATGACGTATGTGATTTTTTTTTAAAAATAAAATCTCCAAACATCGTCACTCGCGTGATTGCTTGCTTACGTTTACTATCCTGTGGATGAAAAATCCCACCACGGTCGCGGGTCACCGTGAGTTCAGCAGGCCTATAGTACACGTCATAGAATGAACACGCGTACACGAGATGGTCGGTGTCTTCACTTCTCTCTCTCTTCCCTCCCCCCCCCCTTCTTCAAGCAAATTGAAAAACAGACCTACTTCCCTACTTCTGGTCATTTTTTTAAAAGTTCACATATCAATCAGGCATGCTAGACAGCCAGCTGTATAAAAATTATTTTTTTTAAAACTAGATCTACGTCTAGCTTAAAAAAAATAAATAAATAAACGTTTAAAATGCCCGTAAACAGATTATTTAGCGCAAAAAAAAAGGCCGCTGAACGAGCATTTTTTAAAATACGCAGCAATGAAAAAGGCTAACGGCCGAACAATTAAGTCTAAAAATCGCCCGTAATTAGGCCTAGCTTTGAAAAAGGCCACTGAACGAGCATCACTGATTATATAAACGAATAGGCCACGCAGCGTTGACGAGGTTAACCACAGGTCACGAATGCAGCAACTGTCGGCCCACAGTGAAGAAAAAAAAATCAATATACTAATAAAATTACTAATACAATAATAATGTCCATAATTTTACTTTTTCCGCACATGCTACAATTGAATTATAATTAAAATACTAGATTTAACAGTTCATTCCGCAAAAAACAAAAACAGTTGTTTCTGTGAGGTAACTAGCGTAACAATGACGTCATGATACTAAAAATAGCGGATAGAAATGTCAGCGGGGGTACCTCATCCTCGAGTGAGATTTTGGAAAAAGTAATCAAAAATACTGAAAATATACATGATAAATATATCAATTATATATTAATATACAGTTAGTCGAGCTGTTTTCCCCGTTAGTCGGTCGTTTTTGGCGGCGGTTCAGTTTTTACGGAGAGTGCTCCACTGGACATGCTCTCATTATTTACAACCACGAATCTTGCGATTTTTTCTGGCATTCTAAGGCATATTATCCATTTTATTAGCAATTTGCATTAAAATAATTATGAGAATTTGCGATATAAACAGTTTTTTCATTTGTCGTGGATGGGACCCCTAAAATAAACGTAAAACCCGTCAGAAAACGGCGCGTGACGTTTCAGGGTCAGAGGTCAATCCTACCATCTAAGCAATGCGCCAGACTACCTAATAGTTCTACAATCTTCAATTCATTTTTGTACTGGCCAGGCTGAAATTTTAAAATATTTTAATGATACCAACTTTTAAATATAGCCTTCATTCTCCAAAGCAAATTTTAAAATGCTTTTCTGGCATATTTAGCCCTGCAGACATAGCTATTTATAGCGTAAAAAAATCCGCCATTTTGCTCGCTATAAACATTTTTAAAAGTAATTATAAGGTCACTGAAACTAAGATTAAAAAAAAAAAAAAAATCGCCCGAATTCGTGAATCCGGGCTGATATTTTAAAAGTTCTATTTTTAATGACACCAACTTTTAAATTTAGCCTTCATTCTCCAAAGCAAATTTTAAAATGCTTTTCTGGCATATTTAGCCCTGCAGATATAGCTTTTTATAGTGTAAAAAATCCTCCTCAAAATGTGCAATAATTATTAAAATTTAAGGAGTCATCTGTTTTTCACATTACTATCTAGATTTCTAGTCGAGGGCGATTTTACGTACCTAGGTCTAGAGGAGCTTACACTTTTCGGACACACATAGCGAAAAAACGCAACGTAAAAATTCCATGCGGTCTCATTCAGTAACCGCTTAACATAGAAAACAAAAAAAAGTATCATATCTATCCGCAACCATTCTACTTTAATAATGTGTGTGTCATTTTGTATTCATACGCATAGAACTTAAGCTATTCTTGTTATAGTGACTGGGGGGTCTTAACGTGTGTTCGAACACATGTAATACAGTTTTACATGTGTTCGGACACCTTTACCCGTCATCGGACATAGCACTTTTTGTTCATTTAGAATAATTTAAAGTCAATTTAATGAATAAAAACATATATTATATGCATTTATATTGTGTTATTGATTGTTTGTGAGGTAATTTTAATAGTATAAAACCTTTTTCCCACACTCCCAAAGTTCATCCCATTCAGCCATTGCGGCTCGCGCAGTACGCTGCTAAGCCAGCCAGGTCACATGATTCCCCCTCCTCTTTTGCATTCCACTGCCTTCTTGACCTTATTTTGACCCTTTCCCTTCAATAACCAGCCCCTTTTATGCTCTAAATTCTTATTTAATAATATTTTTGTGTTGCTGTCCGATCCCATGTAAGGCCAAATAAGTTAGCGAACACCCCTTTTTTATTGTTCAAGCACGAAAAAACCCATTAACCTTGACATTTACGATGTTCCATACATATATAGAAGCTATTTATGGTGTAACCTTTTAGCTAAGCAGTGATTGGTTCAAGTTTTGCCCCTAAGTCCAACCCTAGGTCACTTCATCCGGCTGGTGTAAAAATAGAAATGTGCGTACCATGCAACGTTAAAAAATTTCTAAAAATAATTCTTGAGAAAGGAAACGGAAGTACTTGGCACGGAAGTGTTCATAAATGAACAGTTTACGTGCAGGCGCCGTGGTTTCGCGTGAGACATGCTAATTAAAGTTTCTATGAGCCAAAAACCGACGAAGTGTTCGGTCCTACGTAATTTTTGGTGTGTGTCCGAAAAGTGTAAACTCCTCTAGTCCTAACCTGATAGATTACGAAAAACTGAAAATGCCTAGCTACATCTATTCTAGCCCTAGGACTTTCTAAATCTTGCCAAATTCTAAGAATGGAAAGATTAAAAACTTTCCATACAAAATAACTTTTATCTATAGTTTTTGGTCAAGATTCTATCTACTTAATAAGTGAAGTTAATTAAAGTAAAATTCGTTAAATTACCCTTTGTTGTTGGTTGAAACCGCCAGCGCTCCCGCCACGATTTCTTTGAACACCGCCACGGTAAACACCACCACCACTTCCTCTCCTACTTTGTTGACCACGGCCTCTTCTACCACCGCGTTGATTTGCACGACCTCCTCTGCCTCTACCTCTTTGTGTTTTATTCTGTTTTATTATATCATCTAAGCTCATATCTAATTTATCTGCCATTTTAATCAACGACACTGAAACTTTCGCTCACAACGTAAACAAGAGCGTGGGTCTAAAATGGCGGAATGCTTCCGGTGCCCGGTTGCCAGCTAAACCTTTGATTGAACCGGCGTTTGCATTTTTTAAGTTTTATCCGTTTTAGTGCCTAAGAAACTTTATTTAGATTGTGGAGCATCCACTCAAGAATTTATACGTCAAGCAGGAAACTGATTATAAATATATATTATATAATTCCCAGTGTTTTTAGTACAAAAAAGAGGAGCGCTGGAATATCGAAACAACGCCATACCCAGGTATTCTATATCGACAAAATTGGTAATAATAAAGTAAAATAAAGTTGATAATAAAATTAATACGCATGGGGTGCAATACTCCATACTATACAACCTTTGTTCGGAAAATAAATAATGTGTGAAAATTCAACATAATAAGTTCTACTATAACGACAAGTTGAAAATGTCTAACACTGAATCAGTGGCGCAGACAAGATCCTACCTTCCCCCCCCCCCCTCCCCAAAAAAAAAAAACAAACAACTAGTTAAATATTTTTAAACATGTTTTTTTTTTCCTAAAATATTGACTGAACTCGAGCAAATGTTCAATACTTTATTTGTTCTCGTCTTTACACATTACACAGCAAGCTCTATTCCCCAGCTGCTACCAACAATACCCCCTCATAATCGTTCACGCGCTTTATACAAACACTAGCCATCGGTACCGGTTACACGTGTATTATAGGTCTATATATTTTTTAATGTTATACATTTTTAGAAGAATATTTTATAAAAGAGATATTGGTCAAAATGCAATGCGCTTTACTACAGGTTTAACGTTATTAGTGACAAAGCAAAAAAAAAAAAAAAAAAAAAAAAAAAAAAAAAAAAAAAAAAAAAAAAAACTAAATTAGAAACAAGGTAATTAAAAAGTCTAGTGACAATTTTAGCGCAATTTCCTTATGTTATCTAAAAATAGCTCTGTCGTAGCGTAAATCAAGAGCAGGGTTAGTAAAACCATTGGTTAAAATACATGTTTTATTTACAATAGAGTTACATGACTAAAAACCATTGCGCGCCTAGCTACTGAACGTGATGACGCAGCCATTGAACGTGATGGCGCAGCTATTGAACGTGATGACGCGTGTGGTGTGGTTGGATAAACATGCCTACTAATTCGGTCCAAATTTTAATTAATTAAAAAAATTTTGTGACCGAACGAAAGGATATTTTTTAAAACTTTATTCGGCAATATTGTTCTAGATTATGGCAGGAATCGATTGGTACATGTTTCAAGTCGCTAAGTGGTCTGGTTGCCGAGATATGGGCCAAAAACTGCATTTTTTCGAGGTTTTTTGGCTTTTCCGGGAAATCCATGAAAGAAACCCGGAATTTTTTTGGCCTATGTTCATCCTCGTAACTTGCTTACCATAATTGCTTTGGAACTAGTCCTCGATATTGCTTCGTTGAGGAGGAGATACGACTTAAAGCTGCGGACACACATCCATTCATTCATACATTCATACATCCAGAAATGACGGGTTAATAAACGCAATTCTCCAGAATAAAAATTGCGCTAAAAATGAAACCAAATTATATACATAATTAGTCAACACAACACCATATTAAATGCACACATTGATTAAAAGACTTAAATGATTCCGTTAAAAATCCAGCTTTTCAATGGTATTTTTTATGTTTTTTAAAGTAATTTGTATTAGTTTTGGTCGAGGAAATTGTATAATTTTCATAAATTGCGTCCCGATAAGTAGATCTATAGACCTAAACCAAATTTTAATGAAATAGTTAATTTCTTCATATTCTAAAATTGGAAGATGACGCCATTGGTTTTGTGTACTTTCCATACTTCAAACATATGACATGTGATGTCATCGATTTCGGCGCTCTTGTCACAACTATAAACACTTTTCCGGTTGCATAATTATAACAGTTTTTCTACATTCGAATATGCCTTTATTTTTTATTTTTCTTCTTTAAATAAAATTTTGTTTATACATTTAAAACATCTACCATATTATTTTCAACAAAAGTCCGTATCAAGTTCTCCATACATCGGTGAAGATACTGATATGATAGCCTGTGAAAATATTTTGCGGACAGAGAGAGAGAAGTGCGCACATGGTCTTTTATATATTATATTATATTAGGATTTGACCTCGGGATAATAATACATAAACAAATAGTGGTTAACTAGGTTCTAGACTTTTCTAGCCTATTCTAACCTAACCTACAAATGTTGCACTATAATTAGGCATACACTGTTTCAGTTCTGTTTCAAAATATGTTGTTAGAGTTTTTTATAAGGGGTGATCCATAAACGACGTCACGCTTTTTTTTTACGATTTTTACCCCCCCCCCTCCGTCATACGTCGTCACGAAAAGCCAGACCCCCTAAAATGACGTCACACCTCAGCTTACAACCCCCCCCCCCCTCAAAATTGCTGTTGATTTTTTTTAAACATCGATATTTTTCCAAAATCTTGTCTGAAATCTCTCAAAATAGAGTATTTTAATCAATTCCTATTTCAATTTTTTCTAAAACGCAAAACGTATAAAATTCGTTTTCTAACATTTCTTTTCTATAAAGCAAAAGTGTGACGTCGCACTATCTGAACCCCCCCCCTTCCCCCTCATCACACATTGTCACAAAATTACCGACCCCCCCCCCCCCTCCCCCTAATAGTGTGACGTCATTTATGGACGACCTCTAAGGTGGATTACCCATTATTATTTTATGTAAGGCCATTAAATTGTGTTGCGTAGATTTTAAAGGATCGCGTGAATCACATTTCAATCATTGTTTTAAGGTTGTAGATTTGATATAAAAATTCTGTCCGTAGGCGATGTTCACTCAGGGGTCATCCATAAATGACGTCACACTTTTTTTCACGATTTTTACCTCTACCCCCCTCCCCTCCGTCACACATCGTCACAAAAAGCCAAACCCACCCCAAATGACGTCACACCTCAGCCACTCAAAATTGCAGCAGAATTTTTCTCAAAACATCGATATTTTCCCAAAAATAAAGTATTTTAATCAATTTATTAAAACCGTTTTCTTTAACGCGAAATAACGGCTAAAACTGGTTTTCTAACAATACTTTTTTATAATTCAAAAGTGTGACGTCACAAAAGTGTGAACCTCCCCCCTCCCCCTCATCACACACCGTCACAGAATTACGGATCCCCTCTCCGCCATACGAGTGTGACATAATTTATGCAAGATCTAGCTTACAGGATGCGTGCCAATCCGTTTTCTTAGCTCAGGTATTCTTGGATACCTTTGGGGTCAGGCTTTATTGTGTCTTTCCCTGGCTTCCACCCAGCAGGGCAAACTTCCCCATGTTTATCTGTGTAACGGAAAGCTTGAACTAAACGAAGCGCTTCATCAACTGATCTTCCTAAAGGGAGGTCGTTAATGGTTATCTGACGGAGAATTCCATTCTCATCAATGATGTACAGTGCTTAGGGCGAAAGTTTGTACAGTCTTAAGATATATCATATCATACAAACATAGGTGGAGTATTCGCGAACAAACTACTCCCAAAGTTATTAGAACTGCAAAGGCTTCCTTAATAATATAAATCAAATATTATGTTAAATACACTTTCGCAATTAATTTTTACAATTTCGGTACAATACATAACTTAATTTATCACGAAATATTTATTTAAACGAGTTTTGATTTTTCATTAAAATAGTAAAAAAAATTATTAAATTTTTTTTTTAAAACGTTATTTTCCATACCAAAATGACGAACTCTTTATTTACTTTTTCACAAACAATTGTTTATACACGAAAATACGGCATCTGGATAATACTAACGATTTTTTTGAATCTATAGCCTGTTATAAATACAGCCTGATATAGCCATATAGCGTGTTTTCTCTATCATTAGCAGGTTTACGTCATGGTGTCACCCCCCCCCCTCCACCCTTGTTAGGATTTGTCAACTTTGCTCTTTAAAGACTATTTAACTCACTCTAATTATCACTTAATTAAGTGGGATTATCATTCTGTAAATATTTTGCTATTTTTGCCTTGGTGTCACCCCCGACATGGTGTCACCCGGTGCGGTCCGTATCCCCCCCCCCCAGCTACGCCTCTGCGCACCAGTGACGGACTCCGCTGAAAACCATTTGTAAGTTGCCTTCCATGAACAAATCTGTAGAAGGTGCCCTCGCGTGTGTTCTAAATGAGGTTTAGTATTTTCTTTGGAGAAAGAGCGTCCAGGTGTATCTCGATCTACACAGGTAAAGGATTTTTTTTTCATAATCGATGAAATTAATTTACAGAGGTGAGTTCCACTCTAGTGTGCGCAGTGTTCTGGTCCGTGCAGGATATATTCTGTCGGAATCCTGCTTATTCGTATCTTAACCTTGGATCAAGGACATTCATCATCAGATTTAAAAGGCATCTATTAAAAACTTTCCCTGACACTGAGATGAGTGGGATTCCCCAGTAGTTTATCTTTGTTACACTTACCGTTCTGTTACCGTTTGTGTTTATTCTTCCGCCCGTACCCTCTCAAAGAATGGGTGCAACATCTCTAATGATTCTTCTATATGTGAGAGGAAGAGAATCGATGTGATGTTGTTTTTGTTCACTTCATCTGGGCATCTTTGTTGGGACAAGGAGGTTTACCAAACCTGGGGGAACAAATTACACAATTAAACAACATTAACACCGAACTTCGTAAAACTTGTTAACAATACATTTATTTGACGTCACAATGGTTTACATGTTTAAAAGTAGACTGACCCCACTTGACGCTGCAACGAAAATAACACAATTAAGACATTCTCCAGATTTAATAACATATCTCTTGAAATTCAAATACAAACCAAAAGACAAAAATAAATAATAAAACTTACATTTCAACTGGGATATTCAATAGGGCTATTAAATTAATCATTCGTTGTTTTTGTTAAATAGATATGATCGCACAGTGCATATCAGTATTACACCAGTTAGTAATAAAACAGATAGTATTAGTTACCTCACAAGTTAAAGACAGTTACAAGTACTATGGACGTTTCGACCCAAGGTCTTCGTCAGCACACAACAGTGTGGTTACAGATTAGACAAATAAAGACAAACAGTAACACATTTTTTGACTTAGCTCGACAGTGAAAACACGTCTTGTCTGCTAGCCACGATATCCAAAAGAAAAGACGCGTGAGAAGGACGCTTGGACACCGTATAGGGGTGAGGTTGGGGGCGTGGTGTATGCGGAAGGGGGGAGGTTGGTTAGGTGCAGTATTACACCAAAATGTAGATAAGTCAAAATCGCAAAGAAAAGTGTCATCATCCCTATTCTATCTTCACTGCTTTAACCACAGTCAAATCCTTCCATGAATACCCTTTAGTACTCTACAATTCGGCGCCCCGTGAGCGCTATAGCACAGAGGCGTATCGAGGGGGGAGGGGGGGGGCGCGGGAGGTACATATGTCCCAGGGCGCCGAACTTAAGGGACGCCAAAATGTGTTGGAAAAACAAATTATAAATAGTTTTAGGGGGGTGCAAATCGAAAGTTTGAGGGGGGGGGGGTACAAATTGAAAATTTGCTCCCGAGGGGGGCGCCAAATTGAAAGTTTGTCCCCGGGCGCCGGGAAGGGTCGCTACGCCTCTGTAATAGCGCCAGCTTTTGTTTTAAAGAGTGCGATAGACAATGGATACAATGGGGATGGGGCATTATAGTCGTTCACTAAACCGAAACAGGTGCGTCCGCCGACACCTCAGTAGGGTGCGATTTTCTCCGTGCTATCTTCGGACTTCCTTCTAGCCCCGCGGCAACGCGCGAGGACGGCACGATAGTATTCTAATAAAACACTTAAGGTTGGGATGTCATTTCTAGTGGAATAGTGCATCTTTGAAGTTTGTGAGAAACTGCTCGGTTATTAAGAAAATGGTACTCTTATCGAGTTTAGAGATACTTGAAGTAACTACAATTTCCGGTTACTGGTAATCGTTAAAAAGATGATAGAAAAATAAATTGGATATAAAACTTTGGCGTATACTACTGCTTAATTGAGACGGTACCCAAGTTATCGTGTTCACACAGACACAGAGACTAACACACAGACACGATTGCAACCTAATTTTTTCTGACTCAGGAGGTGTAAACGTCGAGATACATCAACTATCGATTAAGAATTTTTACGATTACTTTTACATTCACTACAATACTTCAACATAGAAGTCATCCATAAATGACGTTACGCTTTTTTTGACGATTTTTACCTCCCCCCTCCCCTCCGTCACACGTCATCACAAAAAGCCAGACCCCCCCCCTAAAATCTCACACCTCAACCTACAATCCCCCTCAAAATTGCTTATGAGTTTTTCTAAAAGCATGGATATTTTTCAAAAATCTTGTCAGAACTCTGTCAACATAGAGTATTTTGATCAATTCCTATTACAATTTATTAAAACCGATTTCTAAAACGCGGAATAGGAATTGATTAAAATACTCTATTTTGACAGATTTCAGACAAGATTTTGGAAAAATATCGATGTTTTAAAAAAAATTCAACTGCAATTTTGAGGGGGGTTGTAGGCTGAGGTGTGACGTCATTTTCAGGGGGGGTCTGGCTTTTTGTGACGACGTGTGACGGAGGGGAGGGGGGGAGGTAAAAATCGTCAAAAAAGCGTGACGTCATTTATGGATGACCCCATACCCATACGAGAAAGTAAAAAAAAAAAATCAAACTTTTGGCTTCGAAGAAAAAACTTGGTTCGGAGTCACTTGCTGTAGGATATCTAAATAACACTTGGATAATATTAATATACCACATTACATATAACTAACGTATTTTTTTAACCCCTACACATAAATTTAATAAAATTTAATAAATACAGATTATTAATCAATTATCCAAAATATATTCTCGTTTCCTGACGTGATTTAAATAGATTGACCTTAAGGTTAACATCCTTACAGCAGACATCGCTTCCGCATATAGATATACTAAGGTCTATATATAAATAAATATACATAGATCTAGACTAGTCTAGTCTATATACAATAATTGTAAGCTAAAGTAATAAAAACGAAAATGCATCAGTGCAAAATGATAAAATATATACCTTAAATTTGTTGAAAGAGGATGGTATTTGGAGCAAGGACAATGGATACATGCCGTGACACAAAACCCCGACATGCTGTCTACGAGAAGGTGATATTTTTTTGTTTTGTAATAAAAATAGAAAGTAAATAAATAGATCTAGCTACTGTAGCTAGATCTACTTAGATTAATTATTAAGTAAATAAATATCTTAAATCTAGAATATCTAGATCTCAGATAGGCCTAATAAAAGATAGGCCTATCTAGATCTAGTATCTACTTTTAAAATCTAGTTTTAGTAGTTATCTATCTATATCTAGGTAATTTAAATTTATCGCTTTTTTAAAAAACTTTTTTAGGTAGGGAGGGGAAATTTCATAATTGCCATTGGACAAAAAAAATTATAGGGGCCTATATTTAGTAACATGTTTGAATAGTGGGTGATTTTCGTTTTTAAGGTCATTTCTATTTTTAACTTTTTAAATGTTTTTGCGCTTTTGATTGGCAAATATTAATATAAGCCATTATAAGGCACAACTCGTCAGTGAATTTTATCACATGAAAATCATGAATTGAGTCTATGCTGTCTTAGGAGTGTCTTGTTTGACAATGCTCAAATTACAACTTATTCATAACATAAAATTTAAAAAATTAGAAAGGCATTTATAAAAAAGGCTGTCCTATTTGTGTGTATTTTTACTTTTTTAATTTAAATAAAAAAATATAAAAAATAATATTGAAAACAAATCTTTTGAAGTTAGAACCACTTAAAATTGGCATAGATCTTGTTCTAAATTTGACCGACTGAAAAACTTGACCCTAAAACATAAATTTGCATGTACTGCCATCATTTTTATTAAGCCTAGGCCCTATAGTTTTATTAAATAATTTGATCAGCTGAGCATTTCTTTTTCATTATAAAATATAACTGAAAACAACACAAGATGCCATAATTATTGAAGGACCTAATGATTTATGTTCCCATCCCGCCCTTTCTGTCCCATCTCCAGCTGATATATTTATCATTATTGCGTCTCTATTTTCTACTAATTAAATATCATTTGTACTCTCATTTGGTCTGCATATTGTTTATTATAAAGCACTAATATATTTAGAATGTTAAGCCCTTTGCCTATTGAATAAAACAATTTAGAGCAAAACGCTGGTCGAAGTTAGAGCAACCCGGTTGAAGTTAAAACCAAACAGAACGAAGTGGGGTCAGTGTGTAGCTGTGCATATAAAATTTCTATTCTCCGTTGTGGTTGGTTAACTATTTATACTGAACCAATCAGCAAAGGATAACGTTTTTAATAGTGAAAAAATGAAACAGCTATGTTGATTAGCTTACAAGATATAACAAAGAGAAACGAACCTACAGACCAGACTAAAACGAATCGGTCAAAGTTTGAGCAGTCTCCCCTACATAAAATCGTCCGTGGCTAGTAATGTACTAAAAAGTTACTTTGTTGTCAAGGCTTTAATAGAAGTTTATTGTGATATATTTGTGAAAAATATTATAGATAACTGAATAATAAACCAAAATCAATGGTTTAATATATCAATACAGGCCAGAAATTACCTTTAAACAACAGTGTTTGCGAGCAAGATTTGCTATTTAAACAACAGCTATTTGTAAAATAGAGTGGCTTCCCCTGAATCTCCCGCTATAAGTTTGCATCTGATGAAAACATAGCTAGTCTTCATTTATTACTGAAAAGTTTTAATTCAAGTGTTTAAAAACAGGTACATAAATGAAACTTTGAAACATTTTTGTAAATTTCAAAACATAAATCCTCCTAAAGATGTGAAAAAATTATTAAAATTTAAGGAGTCACCTGTTTTTCACGTTACTAGTCACAGGCGATTTTACGTACTACCATCTTATTAAATATTAACTAAACTACCCGTTATCTAGTTAGATAACTGTGGGTTTCGGGGGTCATCCATAAATGACACCACGTCTGTCACTTATCATCACAAAATAACCAGACCCAACATTCAAAGAGACGTTTTTTTGTCTTTTAAAAACACCAATTTCGGCTGAGCATGGGTCTGACCACACTATCCCTTCATATGCTGACATCACAGGTGACCTACCCAACTCTACTTCACCTGCCTGCTCAGTGTCCCACCAAGTCTCAGACAACATGTTTTTATCATTTAAAAAAACAGATTCTGGCCGAGCATGGCTCTGACCACATTATCCCTTCATATGCTGAGGACACAAAAACAGGTGAACTCTACTTCACCTGCCCTGTATCCCGCCAAGTTCCAATAGGCAACTTTATCATTCACATCTAAAAAAAATAATTGAAAAAAATATTAACGTTGACATGATGTGTCTAGAACTCGTGCCACCCGCATGGAAGCCTATTACACTAACACCTTAGCTATCTAGGATCGTGACGTCAATGAAGTTTTTTTTGTGCTGTATATTAATAGTTCGAGTCTGCTTAAGAAATTTGATTTACGTGAATAGGCCCTAGATCTTTCAAATTACATTTTATCTTAAATTAGCCAATTCCATAGCTAAACAAAGATTTATATAAAATAATGGTCTGAAATAGTTTAGTATGGAAACTCATTATTAATATTATCTAGATCTAGATGGAGTTATCTAGATTCTACGACTGGTTTGGTTAAGTCGAGTTTTTGCCGTAACTCTGGATCTAGAACCTAGATAGATAAATCACGTGTATTCTTGAATTAGATGATCTGTGAAGCTAAAAAGCCAAGAGTTATATAAAATATTTAAGGACTAAAATAGTTCAGTAAACAAACTCAAAAATTTATTCTGATTTTAAAATGATTTTTTGTTGAAAATTGATATTAGTGTTGGAAAGTAATAAAAGTAGCAAACGGATATATCGTTAAAGCTATAGCGACAGAAAATTAGCTAAATAATGTGTTATACCTGTGGATGGGCAACAAAATCTTGTATGGAAGCCGCCATTATTGTTGTAAAAAGTAAATAAATCATTTGACGTCACTATAAAGTCATTGTTCTGAACTTTTATAATTAACAAGCCGGCCCGCGGCATAACATACGCCGCTATTTAGTTGTTTTATTTTCTACTTTTCAGTAATTCATAATTTGTGAATTCGACAGTACCAATGCTGCCACTGAAAATATTTGCTTTAAAACACTAACCCCCCCCCCCCCCTTCCCCTAAACCCGACCCTACACCCCCCCCCCCCCCTCCCGTGAAAGCAGCCTCCTGTTAGTTATTTCTTAGTTACCTCCTGTAAGTTTAAAATCGAACTAAATTATCTGCCCCTAATAGAAACCCGGCTCTACGGCTCTACGATTTGTAAACATTTAGAGTGAACACAGCTCACCAGACAATGTGGGGGTGGGGTGGGGGTGGTAGTGATAGTGATAGAGAGAAAGAGAGGGGACTGCAAGGAGGCGTTTGCAGCTTGTTTTCTAACGGCTCCCAGAAGAGAATTATATATATAGATGTGGTTAATCTACCAATGAATAAATCAATAAATTAATTAACGTCTTTAAATTAATTTGTGATTAATAGTCTTTTTAAAAAAGAAAATTGTTCTCTCCCTAAATACTATTTCACAATTCTACACATAGTGCAGATTCTCTCCTGTAACCAAACGGACAAACAAAAAAAAACAACAAATAAATATTCAAACATGTAAACATGTAGGCCTATATAGATAAACTACTAGGCTATACCCTGTTGATCATGGAATACAATCCCTGGCCACTCCGGTTGACTTCAAGGGGGGGTGGGGGGGGGGGGTTGGAGGGTGTTATTTAAAAATAATTGTGTATGTTCAACAAGAAAAAAATCATAAAATGAAAATGAGTGTAATGGCTAGTTCCCAAAACGCTTTAAAAAAATAAAAAATTGTAACTAAAATTTTATTGTTTGCCATATTTAAAAAAAAATTAGTATGATTAGCTAGACTTTTCAAGCCTATTCGAGCTAAATTTTATGTATTACACACACACAGAGTTGCATTTATATGTATGCCATTAACCCAAGATATACATCATGTGTGTGACCTTTCAAAAGTTTTACATAACATGGTTGAAACATGAAATGAGCACTGGCTGAAATGCTGGAATGAGAGCTGGCCCAGGCTTTTATTTGGCTGAAATACAACCATAGTGAAATAAAAATTGTAATTTTAGAATGTTTTTTTTTTTGGCTTTTTAGTACATTTTCTAAGTATGTTTGTGGCTCCGCAAATTTTGGAATGTTTAATTAATTAACCCACTTCCCAATTGTCAAATTGAGCTGAAATTCAGCACAGTGTTAGATGTTTGATGACAATATCTGATGTTTAAATCTAATTAAAGGCTTTTATTATTCAGTAATAATGGGAGATGACAAGATAAAATACTAACAATCTCTTAATTCGAGGACCATCAAGGTGGACTGTTTTCATAATTGGCTGTTTTTGTGCCCTATCGTCGACCATGAACTAAATATGGGGACAGTTAACTGAATTTTAGTTTAGAAATCACAAGCTACTGGGCAGATTTTAGCGCTAATATGTTTAGTCGTAGCCTTTGTATGGTGATCTTCATTTCAAACAAATGACAGAGAAGTGGAAAATAATTATAATACTTTTCACATAAAAACATTTATTTAAGATGAAAGGCCTTTATTATATTCACAAATCACAAGTGGAAAATATACTAAAAAGGAAAAAAAAAAGTCTAGTTGTACCTTACTAAAGCAATATACTTGTATGACTAAAAATAAAAGTCTGGGTCCTTTCTTATGGAGAATATATTCCTTTCATAGGTTTACATTTTATAAGATAAGACCTATTTTAAATTTTCACCATTGAGCGCCCAGGCTTTTTTTAGTCATACCAGCATATATCTTTAGTAAGGCTACAGCAAACTAAATTAAGTTTTTACATAATAGTGCATTTTCTCATTTTCTTAATTTTTTTTAATGTGAAAGTTTTTTCTTGTACCTTCAACTTGATACATATTTAAAAAAAAACAACATTTACACACATTGAGCTTATGTATGATTGTATGGGTACAAGCATCACATTTTATTAATTGAAAATATATTTCTTTTTATAATTGCTCTTAAACTTAAAAAAGTCTCATTACCATTCTCTGTGAA